CTCCAGTAGGTTAGTCTGAGCTTGTTTACATGGGAATAATAGGGTTCTAAGAGAGTAAGTGCACCTAAGACTGAAATTTAGGCTTTTCACACGAATGTCATTCTTCCCACTATGTTGTACTGGAAAAGCAAGTCACGGTGCTGCAGCCCAGATTCGAGGGTGGCGATGAGCTACAAGTTTACGCTGCAGCGGCATAGATATCTTTAGGGGTTAATGGATAATTGTGGCCATTTTTTAAGTCATTCTACCCCAGTCAGCAAAAACAAAAGTAAATTTTTTGAAAAGACTGGAAGACTGATAAAGAACAAGGAAGACATAGATAACCAGTCAGGAATGAAAGAGGGGGACATCAAACAGATTGTGTAGATAACTGAGAAGAAAATTAGACTTAAGCTTTACATCAACAAATTTGAAAGTTTAAACAATATGGACATATTTCTAGGTAAATACAGGTTACCAAAATTGACATATGAAAGGCTAGAAAATCTGAATTAAAGAACTGAATCCATAATTAAAAACCTTGCACAGAGAAAAACTCTGTTTCACCACTGATTTCTATTCAATATTTGAGGAAGAAATAACATGTCTTCTACAAGCCCATCCGGAGAGTAGAAAAAGAGGGAATGCGTCTCGGCACGTTTTGAGGCCAGAATAACCTTGATGCCAAAACCCAAGAAGCATATTATGAGAAGGGAATATTACAAGCCAATTCCATTTATGAATGTAAATTTTAAAAAAAACATCAAAGTGCTAGCCAACTGAATGTAATAACTTATGAAAAGGATGATGCATCAAGATTAACTTGAGTTTATTTTAGGAATATAAGGTTGTTTAACATTTGATAATTGATTGTAATCTGCACTAACAGATTTTAAAGAGAAATATTATGGTTGTCTCGATGATAAAGAAATGTGATAAATTTAAACATCCACTCATGATTAAAAAAAAAACAAAACCTTTAGCAAACTCAGGAATAAAGGGAAGTTTACTTAATCTGGTAAAGAATACCTACAGAAAGTCTACAGATTACTTTAAGCTTTATGGTCAACTGTTGAAAACTTTAATTTTGAAATCTGGAACAAGTGAAAGATGATAGACTCTTCTTTGACTTTGAACTTGAGATGTATTGGCTAGTGCCATATGGTTGGGAAGGAGAAAGGATATAGAACAGTCATTATTTGCAAGTAATAGGTTTGTTTACCTAAAGAATCCAAAAGTACCTACAGAAAAATTATGAGAATTAATAATGATGAAACAGGCTGCTGGTTATGAGGTTTATTAATACAGAACATTCAGTTACATGTTCATATACAAGAAACAAAAATGAATTAAAAAATATATACAATAGCAAAAATGAACCCCCAAATATCTAGGAATAAGTCTAACAAAAATGAATAAAGTCACAATAAAAAAGCCTTATATTCTTGATAGATATTAAAGCAGACCTGATCAAATGAAGAAATTATACTGTGCTCATGCTTTTGAAGCCTCTGTTGTAATATCTCAATTAAAATTACCACCAGTATTATTTCAGAAATTGACCAGCTGGTTTTAAAATCTGTACAGAAACAAAGGGAATGAATATATGAGACATTCTTGAGTAAGAGCAAGGTAGAATAACTTGGTATACTGCATATCAAGATTTATTATAAAGTTACAGTAATTAATTCAGTGTGATATTAAAGCAAGGATAAGCAAATAGATTAATGTAATAAAATAGAGAACTCAGAAATAGACCCAAGCATATATAGGTGTTATTTATGACAATAATGGCACCCTAGAGTAATTGGAAAAGGATAGTCTTTTCAATAAAATATGCTAGGACAGTTGGGTGTCCATGTGAGGGAAAGAGAAAAAGCTGTACCATTACAGACATTAATTCCTGGTATACTGTGGGTATAAATGCGAGAGAACAATAAAGCTTCTAAAAGTTAATACAGAACGATATCTTTTCATGATCTTGGGATAGGGAAAGACCCCACTAACCATGAAGAGAAGACTGATAACTTGAGCTACATTAAAATTAATTCAGTCCAATTAAATTCAGTTACACAACACCATTAAGGAACTAGGAGGCACTGGGCGCCCGTGTGGCTCAAGCAGTTAAGCATCTGCCGTCCGCTCTGGTCATGGTCTCGGAGTGCTGGGATCAGGCTCTCTGCTCAGTGGGGAGTCTCCTTCTCCCTCCCCATCTCCCTCTGTGCATACGCTCATTCTCTTTCTCTTAAATAAATAAATAAATAATCTTAAAAAAAAAAAATAGGAGGCAAGCCACAGGATGGGAAAAGGTATTTGGCACACCTGTAACCACAAAGTAGAACTCACTTAAGAAAGCACTAACACAATAAAAAATAGTCTAGAAACTTCAAGAGTGCTTCAAGAAAAGTATAGGTCTGAATGGCCAATAAACCTGAAAAAATGATGAATTTTATTAGTAATGAGGAGAATGCTAATTCACACATTCAGCAAGTGCATCAGAATGGCTAAAATAAAAAGCATTGTTAAGAAGTGCTGGAGAGGAAGTTGGATCAAAACAAATTCTTCTCTTCTTTGGGGACTTAATAAATGCATACAGCCATTTTAGAAAATAGTTCAGCACTATCTACAAAGGAGTTCTTTTTGGATATTATCTTCTTTACCAAGAGTCTTTTCCCTCAAGGAGTGGTCCCTTGTCCTCTTTCTTTCTTTTGTACTGTCTCTTTCATGTTAGCCTTCTCAAGTCTTTGGTGAACCTGCTTTGTCTATTCATATATAAGTATGAAGCACTGAACATTTGAATTATGAACTTACATGTTTATGTACTGGGCTCACCCACTGCAAGCTTCAGTTTGAGGTAATCATCTGAAGTGTCAACTTTGAGAAGGTAGCCAAATGCTCTTTATGGAGACAGAAACTCAAGCCTGTTACCTGCAAGTTAGATCCCTGTTGGTTGGTGTTCTGTATACCATTTCCACCTTTTTTTTCTGGTTTTCTACAGAGCTCTGTGAGTGTCAGGTTTCTCTGGAGTTCTCTAGGACAAATTTGCTATGGACCATATCCTCTTATATGGACATTCTAAGCTGGATATTTGATTGAAGGCCTGAGGTTTCCTAAAGTGAATTTGTAGTGGACTTGGTAGGCTATTAATTATCCACTACATGTGCCAGACCTTGTACTGAACCTTTTAAATGTATTGTGCTGTACATACATACACTCCTCAGTACAGCTCTGCCACATAGTATCATCTCCATTGTATAATTGAGGCTTATTTGATGTGACTTTCAAATTCCTAATTATTATTCAGTATTGGAGCTTGGATACCAGTTGGGATCTGTGTGCTTTAAAAGTTTTTTAAACACTTAGGGCGCCTGGGTGGCTCAGTTGGTTAAGCGACTGCCTTCGGCTCAGGTCATGATCCTGGAGTCCCTGGATCGAGTCCTGCATCGGGCTCCCTGCTAGGCAGGGAGTCTGTTTCTCCCTCTGACCCTCCCCAATCTCTCTCATTCTCTCTCTCTCAAATAAATAAATAAAGTCTTTAAAAAAAAAAAAAGTTTTTTAAACACTTAATAGTAGTATAGTTCTTGAGTTTATTCAAATTGGAGATGTAGAAAAGGGATTCTGGGTTGGAAGCAAGTGCATTGTTAACATGGGTGATGGCAGGGATTTAGGTTGATTAAAGAAGTAGAAAAATACTATATGCCAAGGAACAAGGCAAGGATAAGGGGTTCTACCTTGGCGTTTTGGCTAAGATCAAGTGTAGTATCTGTTCTTATCAGTTTTATTTGAATATAAGGCAAATTTCAGAATTGGGGATCTTGTAGAGCTAGATCAAGTGCTTATAGGATCAGTCTATGAGTTTTGGGGTGGACAGATCCCCTGAGGGAAGGGTGCTTTCTCCCAGCTAGACATGTGTATTATCCATCTTTGATTTGCCTATCACTTGTAAGATGTGGAAATACTGGTGAACAGCTTAGTGAGGGAAAGTAAAAAGCTGTTGGGAGTACAGAAGATTGGAGAAATGCCTTAGCTTCTTAAGCCCTTAAAGCAGTGAATGCTAGCATATTACTTTTATGTAATGATATGCTAGTAGTAGGATCAATTGCAAGAAAAAAGTAGGAAGCTGTAAATATATGAATTGGTACCTATTTGAATAAATAAAAACCACCATGGCTTTTTGTGGAATTGATGGTAAATACTCATTTTTTTGTCTTTTGTGCAGTTGACCTGTGAATGAGGAAATTTTACTTTTCAGTATTCAGAGTCAGTCTGTGCTTCCTGTTGGCCTTTGTATTAGAAGCTTCTGTTGAGGGATGGTAGTTACTTACACAATTATTTTTATCACTGTCCTACTCATGGAAAGAATTAAGGCTCCTTGCAAAACTAGTGGTATAAGTTAAAGTTAGAAACGGAAAAAAAAGGAAGAAAAATAAGGTACAGACATAAAATTGTGCAAAAAATAATATGCTCTTAAGACTGAAATACTTAGTATAGGGTGGAATCCAAATTTGGCCATTGGTGTTATGGAAGCCAACAAAAAACTACAATTCTCTCTGAGTAGTTGCTTTGGAGAAAGTATTTTCTTGTTAGATAAATGAGACAGGAATTTTTCCCAAGGATCTCTGTAAAAAATGCAATTACTATTTAACATAATGAAAATTCCCTGTACGCTGACATTAGAGTTTTGTAGAAGGGATTTGTTTTGGGTGGCATCTAAGATTTTGTCAAACTCTTTAATATACTGGTTTATTCTGGTTTATACATGTTGATGGACAGTTCAGTATAGTACCTGTTTTATGTAGATAGTGTTGTTCTAATTCATAATGTGTTAATACATATAAAACTTCCATGCTGAACAATGAGCTCTTGTAATTATACCCTCAAACTGGGCTAGAAATTCATAAGTACTCTAAGATTTATTAAAAAATATTTAACTTGACAAAGTAAAAATACATTTTAAAATAATTTTAAGAGCTATAAATTCAAGCAAGTGAATAATATATAGTGACTTTTTTTTTCCCCAGTTTAATTTTGTTGGGAGAATCCTTGGACCTAGAGGACTTACTGCTAAACAGCTTGAAGCAGAAACAGGATGTAAAATAATGGTCCGAGGCAAAGGCTCGATGAGGGATAAAAAGAAGGTAAGTCCTTGAACTTGGGGGCAAGTGTTGATGTGAATAATTTACTTATACTTTTGCATTCTAATAATAAAATATCCAGATCTTTTGTGCATAAAGCACTATACATTAATTCATATCTGAAACTTTTGAACTTTTTTAAGGTGTTGTCATGATTTTTTTCTTGTTGATTTTCATGAGTTTTAGCCAACCTAAGGTATCACTCAGTCCATCATGTTAACTTATTTTGGTATTTATAGTTGAGAAGCTGCCACTTTGGAAACTAGTCACACTATAATGTATATATAAAGGTATGTCATTAAAAGTTTTAAAAATCTAAAATGTTTCCGTTGATGAAATTTAAATGAAAGTGATCAAGTGAATAGCTTTAGCTGTGTGTCAGATAACTGGGAGAGCTATTAAACAGAAAAAGAAAGCTATAACTAGCCATATGATACTCATCTTCGATTTCACCAACATTTTGTGTTGATTGTAAGTTTATTAGACATTTTACTTTATATTGTTCCTGTTTTCTGTTTATTTCTCCTGCCACTTATTGTTCTTCTAGTTTAATTAATAAATACCTAACTATCTACTTTAAATACTGTTTTTAGGAAGGGTTTATTTGCCTAGTTTCCTGTTATCCAATGATACTGTTAGGCAGGATAGTTTAGAATGTGTATCTGTGTAAAACAGTGTTCGACTGATTTAAAAAAAAAAAATAACCTTTTTAAAAAAATTCCACATATAAATGAAACCACATGGTATTTATCTTTGACTCATTTCACTTAGCAAATACCCTCTAGGTCCATTCACCCCTGAAACTAATGTAACACTGTGTAAGAATTATACTTCAATTTAAAAGAAGAAAAACCTAGATTTGATTGCCAAATATTAAACGTACTGTCAGGGAGGGTATTATTTTTTTAATACATTGCCTTGAAAGGGCTATCAAGTAATAGACCTGTGGTCAGCTTACGTTGGAGTGTGTGCGTTGAATCACTTTATGGAGTTTATGGAACAAACTCTAGGTCTACAAAGTATTCTGACTTCATTCTGATGTGCTTCTTTTCTGACCTTCCACCTCATTTCATTTACACTCTCCCACCACCTGACTGCATTGCAGTCATTTTCTCACCTTGCAGACAGATAATGACTTTGTAGCTGCAAAATTGGGTGTGCGTGGGGAGGGGGCATCCCCAATAATATTGATTATCTTTAAATCTTATTATAACCTGTTCTTGTCAGCTGAGTTTAAAGATATTTTGAGGCTATGTGAGTTCTCCTTCAGCAAATTTAAATATTGTATTTAAAACATTTTTTATTAGAATCTTAAAACACTTAAGCATTTTCTGAATTAGCTAAGTGGCAGTCTTATATTGGCATGCAGTTTTGGTTCCCGTTTCCACTTAATAGTTGTATTGGCATTAAGCAATTTAAGAGCCATAGAAAAATGAAGTTGACAATTGATGGACAAATAAATCTTTACCTTAAGATTAGTGTATCCATCAATTAAACAGTTATTCTATAAATCAGTGAAAAAACATGTTTTCCCCTCTGCTCAGCCTCTGTTAATTCTGTAGTAATGGCGCTCCCCTTCTCCACTCACACACTCAGAGGCATCAAGGATTAGAGGTTGGAACTTGTGTAATGAGACATCATGAATTTTTTTTTTTGATTGGGGTTGAAATTTTAGCCTGAAGAACATATCCTGCTGTCTTTGGCAGAAGAACCAAATAGAACAGTGAGCTTTGTGACCACATTGTTTAGGTTTGAATCTTGGTTCTGTCACTTAGCAGCTTTGTGACATTGGACAAATTACTTATCCTTCTGCTTTATAAAAATGGGAGTAGTAATAAGGTGATTGTGAAGATTAAATTAGTTATAAAGCCCTTAGAACAGTGCTTTGGATCATAGTAAGTGATAGGTTAATGTTAATCATTGTTCCTAATAAATTTTATCTTTATATTATTACAGTCGTGCCCTTTTATTCACAGGTGGGGGGGCGTTCTAAGACCCCTGGTTGCCTGAAAATGCAGATAGTACTGAACCCTGTATATACTATGCATTTTCCTCTACGTACATACTTCTGATAAGTTTAACATATAAATTAGGCACCGTAAGAGATTAACAGCAATAATTAGTAATAGAACAATTATAACAATATATTGTAGTAAGTCATGTGAATGTGGTCTCTCTCTCATAGTATCTTAATATACTGTACTCACCCTGGTGATGATATCAGATGGTAAAATGCCTACATGATGAGATGAAGTGAGATGAATGATAGAGACTGTGACATTAGGCTACTATTGACTTGAGGAGGAGTTAGAAGGAGGATCATCTCCTTCCTGACTTAGGTTGACCATGGGTAACTGAAATCGCAGAAAGCAAAGCTGCAGATGAGGGGGGACGACTGTAATTGGATAGTTAGTGCACTTTATGTTTAAACTCTTATGTTGCATCAAGGTGGGGGGACTGCTACTGTTTTTTTTTTAAGTTTTGGAAAGGAGAATACTTTGTTGTTTTATGACCTTTGAATATCCCATATTCTCATTGCTTTTCTGTTTTCTCTGGTGGTTGGTGCCTCCATATTCTGTCTTGTCCACTTTGTTCTTAACCACAAATAGAAGCAGTTTACGTTTTCTTTTTATTTTTAATTTGTACTGTTGGCTACCAAAATAAAACAAACTTATAGATTATACATAATGCAAGAATAACAATAAGACACCAGAAAAATTTGGCCACAGATGATATCTTTAGTTTTATTAAAATGCTACAGATGAACATACTTTAGGCATATCAAATTAGTTTGAAAGAAAATTAGGTAAAGATCAAAGTCATTCTAACTAATTTGATATGTATCAACCATACTATTGGTTGAGGAAATTATAAACTTACAGACATATCAACCATACTATTGATATTATGGTATATGGAGTCTGTGAAGAATTTATGCACGTATTTTTAGTACCTGGGGTGTCTTCTATAATTTTAATGTAAATCTACACATAATTAATTGTTAACCAAGTCATTTTGGTTAATGCTGTAGTTACTCTATTCATTGAGTTCTTAAAAATGTTAATGAAAGTAAAGTCAAATCGAAAGTGCTGTCGATTGTTATTTGACAGTTATTTTGGTAAAGAACTTGACAAGCAGATGGAGACAAAAAGAAGTATTGATGAGATAATTCTTAGTACTAGGCTGATTTAGGTGTATTTCAGGTGTTTCAGAGGAAAAGCCAGTTGGATTTAAGCTTTTCTGCAGAGCTGTCAATTTTTGTAAAAGCTGAGAAAGCTAGAAAATCTTAATTTACTGTTGCCTAAAATATGATGGAAAATGCTGTTTGCTGATCTGCATCCTTCACTAGCCTGGTAAACTTAGTGAAGGCAAAGCATGTCTGTTTTATGGAGCATTTCCCTGGTGTTTGATGAGTACCTGGCACAGAGTAGGATCTGAAAAAAAGAAATCTGAAAAAGGAATGAATGTTTAGGTAATAAATGAAAGGCATAGATGCCTCCCCCCCACAATAGAGGAAATTATAAACCTGATGTGCTTTTAATTCTTTGGGCAAGAGAAGCAGTACCATATTATTCTAAGCTGTTGGTTTTAAGCAAGGGAGTGAAAATGCCACTTGAATTTTTATTCTGTTGGAGTGGTATTACTTCAGAGTTATTGGTGGGCATAAGAGCATCGATTTTTGTGTATAAGTGTCAGTGGAATGGTACTGGGTAAACTTCATGGAACCAAAGAGCAGGAGCTGTAGTCAGATTTTATGAGAGACTATGACCAAAGCTTGGAAAGCTTCTCTGTTTCAGCCAGTACTTAATCTGGAGCAGGCTAACTATCCCTCTGTCTCTGATTAAGTATATGGTACCATGGTGTCAGCAAGTGGAAACCAGTAGTTTCATGGATAGTTCTTTTTAATTTTTTTAAAAAATTTATTTATTTATGAGAGAGAGAGGGAGGGAGGAGTGTGGGGAAGAGGGATGGGGGAGAGGGAGAGAGAAACTCAAGCAACTCTTGGCAGAACGCAGAACCCAACGCGGGGCTCGATCTCAGGACCTGGAGATCAGACCTTAGCCAAAACCAAGAGTTGGATGCTCAGCTAACTGAGCCACCCAGGTGCCTCTTTATGGATCGTTCTTGTGATTCATAGAGTGTGTACTTTGTATCAAGCATTATTCTAGGTATTTTACATGCATTTGTTTTAGGTTTTTTTTCCGTATCTTGTAAGTTTATTATTTTTTTATCATTTTATTTTTTTTATAGTGTTATATTAGTTTCAGGTGTACAGTATAGTGATTCAGTAATTCCATACATCACCCGTTGCTCATCACAACAAATGCACCCCCTCATCCCTTTCACCTATTTAACCCAACCCCCCACCCCTCTCTTCTTTTTTATATCTAAATGATATTTCATTATATATACATACCACATCTTATTTTATCCATTCATCAATCAGTGGACCCTTGGGCTGGTTCCATATCTTGGGTATTGTAACTAATGCTGCTACAAACATAGGGGGCCATGAATCCCTTTGTATTAGTGTTTTTGTATTGTTTGGGTAATACCCATAGTGTGATTGCTGGATGGTAGGGTAGTTCTATTTTTAACTTTATGAGGGAACCTCCTTACTGTTTTCTATAGTGGCTGCACCAGTTTGCATTCCCACCAACAGTGCAAGAGGGTTCCTTTTTCTCCACATCCTTGCCAACACCTGTTGTTTCTTGTGTTGTTAATTTTATCCATTCTGACAGGTGTGAGGTAATCTGAGTTTTATTATTCCTATTTTGTAGGTGAGGAAATTGAGCCTCAGGAGGTTGAGTAATGTGGCCAAAGGTCACATACCAGAAAGTAGCAGTCCAAATTCAACCTACAGCCTGTACTCTATCCTGTGGTATACTACTTCCTACCTAAGAACCATTTCTGAGAGCGATAGCAACTTCAGAAATATTAGAACTTGAATATTGAGTAGTTTTAAACTTTGACTATGAAGTCAACATGAATATATTTTGTGA